AAAACAAAACAAACAAATTAGCGAGGCTGTTCTGCACCTCCGGGCACAGGCGCAGAGAGGGAAGCCGGGTGCGGTCAGCAGAAGACCGGGGTGGCCCCAGGCCCGGGCCAAGGGGACACCAGCCACGCCTGCTGTGGCCCCCTCGCCCTCCAGAGGCCCGAGCCCCCCGCGGCTCCAGCTGCACCCCACACTTCCATTTCCACACGTGCCAGAGAGATCTGCAGTGTGAGGGGCCCGCTGTGCTGACCGGGGCTGACAGCCACCTCCTCAGGCGGGGTCTCTAGAACCCAGACCCTCATCCAGCCGCCCCACCCCTGGAGCCTCTGTTCTCTCTCCTGACCTGGGGGGGGGGGCGGTGCAAGATTCCAGTGAGCTCAGGGCACCAGCTCAGGGCTGAGGATGCTCACTCCTACCAGCTGAAGCCAGGAGCTTGGAGGGCACCACTCGCCCAACTCCATGCCCACGCTCGGGTCTCACCAGGACACTGCTGACCCTGGACACCAGCCCTTGCTCAGGGCGGAGAAGGAGCCCTGGCAGTTCTCTGAGCGAAGCGAGCTTACCATGTCACTCCCCTGCTATATCACCCTCCATGGCTCCCCATTGCCCTCGGAATAATGTGAAAGTCCTCTCTGTGGCCTGAGACGCTATCTAATCCAGCCCTGACCTCATGCCCCCCAAATCCCCGCTTTGTTCATTCGGTCAACCTGCCTCACACTTCTGGCCATTGCTTGGCACCACGTGCGGCCCCTTCCGAGACCCCTGTGCCCACAGTGCCTTCTGCCAGGAGCACCTTTCCCCTATCTTCAGACTGACTCACTCCCCATCCAAGCCCCAGCCTCCATGGCCCTTCCTCAGAGGCCGCCCTTGACTGCCTGAGAGCAGGCCGGGGTCCCCTTTCGAGGCGATCATAACTGAATTTTCTTAGGACTTGGTCACTGTGACCTTTTCCCCCCTAGATGCAGGCATTCTGGGGGAAGAGATCACAGGTTCTCCGAAGGCAGGAGAGGACAGAGTTAAGAAAGTGCGTTCGTATCCTGATGCCCAGCTGTGTAACCTTGGGTAAGTTACTTAACCTCTCTGTGCCTAGTTTGCTCACCTGTACAGTGGAGATAAAAGCAGCACTGCCGCCTTGTGGGGTGTGGACAGGTGGAGACAGTGCACACCGCTCTGTGTCGCCATCCCCACCACACCTGCCCGCCGCCGGATGACGATCCGAATCGCTCCGTCATTTACAGGCAGCTCTGGCTTTTCAGACCCGCCAATGCTCAGAATCAGAAGCCTCCTTCCGGGAGGTTCCTATTCTCACTGCTTCAGCGGAGGCCCTCGACCCCTCGCATCCAACCCAAACCAGTTTCCCCAAGCAGAGTCTGTGGTTGTGCCCGTGTTGGTGAACCAGCAGCTGAGTGGCTGAGGCCCAGGGAAGGGGGGGAAGGGGGGGCCTCGCTCCGGGGGACGGGGGGTCCGGTGCCTGCCTCAAATCTACAAGTCAGAGTCTCGGAACGTTATCAGAATCCACGTAAAAGTCTAATGGAAAACGTTCAAGGAGTGCAGGATGGAGAAGGACCGTGTACCATAGAAGCACGTGCATTAGTGTTAAAATCGTGGCCCGGACCGCGTACCTGGGCTCGGAAGGCCCGGCGCGCCAGGCCGGCCCTCGTCTTGGTCTGTGGACTGCCTGCCCGCTCCCCCGGCGCTCGGGTCAGAGGTAGGAGGCCTGGGTTTCAGGGGAGCTTGGGGCGAGGCGGCCCCCGCAGGCTGGCACACCTGGGCCCCCTCAGGCCCGCCCAGGCCAAGCCGGCACCGAGTCACACGGGCAGGGGCAGATCCAGGTCCCTGGGGCTGGGCACGGGGGTCGGGGCTGGTTCCTGGCCCTGTTCCCGATGCCCGGGAGCCCCCGGCCCAGCTGCCCTGCACCCCCTCTGGGCCTCCGACTACACGTGCAAAGTGAGGAAGGAGGGAGAGGGGGAGGAGGGCGGGGGGGGCGGGCAGGCCAAGTTCATAAAAACAAGGACCCATTTTCCCTCTGTGCCCCCTGCCCTCCCCAGCTGACGGAATGGCAGGAAGCGGGGAAACAGATCCCGAAGGCCCCTGCCCAGCTCCTGGGCCCCGTGGGGGCGGGTCCCTCCTGATTCTGGAAGGGTCATGCGTTCAGGGAAGTGGCGGGAGGCTCGCTCCACAGGGGAAGGACCCCTTGCCAGCATTTCCACGGGGCCAAGCGGGACCCCTAACCCGAGCCACTCGACTCCACGAGGCCCTGGGGGACCCTGGGAGTCACGAGGAGGGTGGCTGAGGGCAGGAGGTGGAATGTGGGCTGCGGGGGGCAGCCTCACGCTGAGAAGGAGGGAGGCCTCTGTGGACTCAGGGAGGGGCAGGCACTGAGGGCAACTGGCTTGAACCCAGCTGGCTGGCTTTGGGGGGTCCACCTGGTGCTTTAGGAGAACCCCCACCCCCAGACGGTAGTTCCAGGGGGAGAACTGGGCACAGAAAGGGCCCAAGTGATGGGCCAAGTGTGGGCCCCGGCCTCACGGATCTGAATCCCAGCTTCACCACCTTCTGGGGGGATGAGCAATTCACCTCTGTGGTGCCTCAGTTTCCTCATCTGTAAAATAGGGACAATGACCGGACCTACCTCACAGGGCGGGGTGTCTGGTGCCTGCCGAGTCAGGGCCCCAACACGAGGTATAATGACCAGTATTCTAGAAGGGCTCCTCCAGCTCAGGCCCTGGGTGCAGGTGCACACACGCGCGTGCACACACTCGCCTGCACCACCTGCCCCAGACAAAGCCCTGCTGGGGCCGAGACTAATATGCAGGGTTGCTGAATGACTCACCCCGGCGGGCTGGAATGCACTTCCTGGAACGAGTCACCACAGGTAGGCCTGGGGGCCCCCGAGGCTGGCGGAGACGCGAGGGTGCAGGTCCCGGCACGCCCAGCCACACCCCGGTGGGGGCCTACTCTGGGAGGGGGCAGGGGGACCTCCGTCTGAAAGGCCTGCAGGCCCGAGCTCCCATCCCCGCACTGAGTCAGACACACGACTCTCCATCTCCACGCCTCGGTCTCTGCCTCTAAACGGGGACACTAGTGCCAACCACACAGGGACAACTGCAGATCACAGAAAAAGACTGGAAAGTGCAAAGACGGAGGGTCCAGCAGGTCCCACTGTTAGGCTACTTGCTGGAGGCCAGGGGCAGCCAAGGTCCTCTGATCTTCCTCTCCTGATGTGCCTCTAAATCATCAGTGGGCAGAGCACTGGGTGACTTGGGGGGGGGGGGTTCCTGTTTACCCGGTAACGGTCACCCCATATCTCAAGGGAAAGGACAAAGAAAGCAGCTCCTGGCTTCATCGTTGTCAGAAGGCAGAATGATTGCATTTCTCTGGAGATGGGGCAATCCTGGAGGGCTTCTGAGAAGAGGTGGCATTGACTTAGCCTCTGAAGGATCAACAGGAGTTTCTAGACTATGAGATAGATGAGGCCATTGTCTAGCTGTTACTGGCCTGGGGCAAGTTACACACTCGGAGGCACGTGTCTTACACGCACAGGTGTAAGAGAAGATGGCGCAGTGGGGTCCTGGCAAGAGTTGGACGGTGAAGTCCCGCCAGGCATCCCCAGTCACACAGTTTAGATGACACTGCCTGCCGAATAGAGCGAGTTCACCTGCTCAGTTCTGTCCACAGGCTGTAAGACTGCAACCCCCGAAATCTTCCACGCTGCCATCTCCTCTCCTATCAAATCAGAGTAACACTGATGCCCAGTGCGCACGAGGTTAAGGGAAGGTAAATGGGTCGACACGCATGAAACACCTAGCGCAGCGCCTGGCACAAGGTAAACACCGTGGAAATGTGCAGGCAGCAGGACAGGAGTGGGACGGGGGGGTCCCCCGGGCAGACCCACAGTGAGAGACCCCTGGGGGGCAGGCCAGGGAGGCCGGCTGAGCTGCGAAGGCCAAGGCCTCAGCGATGGGCCAGCCAGGGTCCAACCCAGGCTCGTCACACCAGATTGTGCAGATTGTGTGGCCTTGGGCAAGTCCCTTCACCTCGCCGAGCCTCAGTCTTCCCATCTGTAGAATGGGCGTGGTTTAAAGATCCTTCCTCCAAAGACCAGCGTGGGAACGAGATGCCACGTAAACCAGAGATCAAAGCACTTTGAACAGACCCGGCAGAAATCATTACTACAATTATTGAACGCCGCTTAGTGCAGGGTTCCTCAAACTAGAGAATCCTCTGGTGGGGGTTGGGGGCGGGGGGCTGTCCTGTACACTGTAAGGTGTTCAGCAGCATCCCTGACTCCTACTCACCAGACGCCAGCAGCAGCCCTCACATCTAATTCACAACCAGAATGTCTCCAGACTTCGCCCAGCGTCCCCGGGACAACAGATCATAAGTAGCAATGACAGATGTGTGTATGACAGATGTGTCTGAAACACCGAAGGTCTCCACTGCAGAATCAGTCTGGCCTCAGTTTTGCCATCGGCAAAAAGGACACAATGATCTTTCCTTTGGGGTCTGGGGGAGGATCCCAGGAAAGCAGAGATGTGGAGGGGAGAGGCCTCTGCAAGTCACAAAGGGCCACGTGCAGGCTGGCCTTCCGTCCCCAGACCTCCACCGTCCCGGGCCCCTCTGGTCGACTTGAGGTCGACTCGTGCCTTCAGGAGGACCCACCCTGAATTCTGAATGTCACCCTGAGCACGTCCTTCTGTGTTTAAGGACAGGACGGGAGGGCAGGGGCTGTCCCCGCCCACGGCGGTAACCCCAGAGGGACCTCAGTGCTCAGCAAACAGCAGGCGCTCAGTAGATAAATGGTGGATGACGAGGCCAGTGGCAAAGCACCGAAGCTTTGCCCGGGGGAGGGCCTGAGACACTCCAGCCCCCTGGGCCTGCCAGCCAGACACCATTTCCTGTCTGTGGAAGTGAGATGTGCCCTCTGAACTCTCACTTCCTGAGCCCCTCTCCCCTCTCCGGGTCGGGGTCGGGGAGGCGGCGGGAGGCGGGGAGATACTCACGTTCCTGAAGGAGGGAAGGCCCGCGGAGCCCAGCCATCTCCGCAGAGCCTGCGAGAAGGCCCCGTGGTCCCGCTCGGCCTGCAGCACGTGGGCCTCCAGGAAGCACACATGGTGCCCAACCATCTTGACGAAGGCCTGGGGGAGAGGAGAGAGGGACGGGGATGCCACGCTGGCCACGGACTGGAGCACGGGTCACACAGACGCCCGGCCCCCAGTCGCAGCTGCCCGTGGGCTCCTGGGGAGGCCAGGCAGGGCCTTCAGACACCCTGGCGATAACAGGAACAGCTCCACGGGACGCCTGACGGCGCCTCGCCTTGTGACCTCTCCCCTTCTCCCCCTAGGGATCCTACTTCTAGCCTCTCTTTTATAGAGGAGGGAAACCAAGGTTCAGAGAGGTTGGGTCACCTGACCGAAGTCACACAGCCAGTGGGTGGGAGAGAGGACTCGGGTGCACATCCATCAGACTGCAAAGCTTTCTTAATTAAAAACAGGGTTTAAAAAAAAATTTTTTTAATGTTTGTTTATTCTTGAGAAAGAGAGCGACAGAGCACAAGTAGGGGAGGGGCAGAGAGATGGAGACACAGAATCCGAAGCAGTTTCCAGGCTCTGAGCTGTCAGCACAGAGCCTGACGCGGGGCTCGAACTTCCGAGCTGTGAGATCATGACCTGAGCTGAAGTTGGACACTTAACTGACTAAACCACCCAAGCACCCCTAAAAATGTTTTTGTTTTTTGTTTTTTTTTAGAAATTGCCAAAATGGGGGCACCTGGGTGGCTCAGTCAGTTAAGCGTCCGACTTCGGCTCAGGTCATGATCTCATGGTTCATGAGAACTTGCCAAAATGCTCACTTTAATCATGGATGGACATCGGACAGTTTCAAACTCAGAAGCTGCCAGGGGACAGGCAGGTGACAAGCAGGGAAAGGGGGCTGAGTGGAGACTAGGGTGACCCGGAACGTAGGGTCCAGCCCCACAGAGGCCGCTCCGCTCCAAGCTTCTGATCCAAAATTCCCAGTTAAAAAAAAAAAAGAAAAAAGAGAGAATGAACTTGGGTCAGGCTCCCTGGATTAGAACCCAGTTCTGCCACCAACAAGTTGTATGCAACTTTCTACAAGCTTCAATTTCCTTATCTAGTAAATGATAATGATGATGATACTATTATACAGAAGACGAATAATACCAATCTCGCCGAGCAGGTAAGGGCTTATCAGCACACGCTGAGCTCAATAAATGTGCAGTATTGTTTTGAAAAGAAAAAAATTGCAGATTTTATGAAAAGCCTTTAGTTTTTATTGATGATAGCAATAGCTCACAATCAACAAAAAAAAAGAAGATACTGTGCAGGCCCAGAAACATTGAACCTGCTCACCTGCGGCCTGTGGTACCTCCTCACACCTTTCTCTACACTCAGCGCGTGGGTGTGCCTGTGCTCACGTGTGTGCGTGCTCTGCGTGCAAGTGTGCTCACGAGTGTGCCTGTGCTCGTGAGTGCCTGTGTGTTTATATGCACGTGTATTCAACCGTGTGTGCGTGTTTGTGGGTTGCAAGGGTAGACGGCGAAGGCCACCAAAGGCAGCCACTCCGCGGTCACGTCAGAAAGCCCCGCCTCTGCGGGCCTCCCCTGCCCCACACAAGGCTGGCAGAGACTTCCTCTCACCAGGAAGGGGAAGGAGAATACGAGAGAGTCTCCCTTCACTAGAAGGAAGTTCATGGCCCCCACGGTCTACAGGGTGCCCACCATCTAGTCCTGCCTTCTCCTCACACTGGCCTCCCTTGGGTTCCCTGGAAATGCCAGGCCCCACTGACCACAGGGCCCTTCCACCTGCTCTCCGCATGCCAGGCTCTGCTCTCTGCTCTTGATGGAGCGAATGCCGCCCATCTTTCAGGGCCTGGACTGACAGTCCCCTCCGGAGAGACACCTTCCCGACCGCCTAGTCTAACAGCCCCCATCGCTGGGGAGGCGCCCCGTCTCCCTAGCCCTCCTTGCCTCCGGACTTCCTGTCTTTGCCTCTGGAATGTAGGTTCCAAAGGAAAAGGTGCTGTTCACAAGGCCAACCCCAGAGCCTGGCCGGCCGGAAGGGGCCCCACTGGACGGCGGGTGCCGGAATGAACACACGCACAGATGAGCGCATCCTCGGCAAAAAGACCCGCACAAACACCACACCGTCGCTCCGCCGCTGCCCCAGGGTTTGGCAGGGACGAGCTGAAAGGCCGAATAAGCCCCTCCCGTCGGATGGGGGGGGACGGGAGACAAGGGACCACGGGGCTTCCCCTGATCAGGTCTGGCCCTTGGCTCCAAGGCCTCGCTGGGCAGCACAGCTGCTTGTGAAAGATGGAAGACGGCCCAGCAGTCCCCGTCCGCCAGCCGATTCCAACCATACACTCCCTGTTACCGCCAGTCTGGGGGGTGGTGAGGCCAACTGAGGAAATGCCAGGCAGGGGCACCCCGGGGGAGGCCTGGCCCGGGGACACCGGGAGAGACGCAGCCACCAGGGCGGATGGGGCTGGGGGACAGGATCGTGACCACTCTGGTGGCTGTGTCTCGGAAATAAGGGGGACTCCTAGGCATTTTTCTTTTTTTTACTTAAAAACAAATTTCTTTTTAACATCTATTTATTTTTGAGAGACACAGAGTGTGAGTGGGGGAGGGACAGAAAGAGAGAGAGGGAGACAGAATCCAAAGCAGGCTCTGGGCTCTGTGCTGAAGAGCCCGACGTGGGGCTCGAACTCACGAACCGCGAGATCATGACTTGAGCCGAAGTCGGACGCTTAACTGACTAAGCCACCCAGGGGCCCCATATGTAGTCTTCTCTACACGAAAAGATACTACTTTTATTAGCAGAAGGGAGGAAGAGAAGGGAGGGAGGGAGGAGAGAGGAAAGCCCCATTGTTTTAAAACATATTGGTCCATCCTGATGCCTATGGTCGCTTCTGGCAAAAGGCCCCCGCGTCAGCTGGCGCGCTGTCTGCACAGAGGTGCCCACACCCAGCACTGGGGAGTGCTCAGGAGCAGGCTTGTGCCACCCCAGCTCTGCCACTTCCTCGCTGTGTGACATGGGCGGATCACCTCCCCTCTCTGTGCTCCCCTGCCTTCTCGGTCAGGTGGGACAAGTAACGGGATCGTCCCCCCGGGGCTGCCGCGGGTGGAGCGCCTCCTCACGGGGAAAGCACTTGGAGTCCTGGCTCGCGGCAGGTGTCCTGTGTGTGCTAGTTTCTATTACTAAACCTGAGAAAGACCCACGTGCTGGGCCATCCCTCTGTGGTCCCCAAGCCCCTCCTGGCAGGTGGCACTGATCTGAGAGCGGGGTGGTCCCGGGCTCCCCGAAGGCTGTGACCCTCCCCACGGCCCAGGGCGAGCGGCCAGCAGCGCGGACGTGCTCCTCACCAAGCCAGCTGCTGGCCTAACGCCTCACGGTGGCTGTCAGGAGTCAGGAGGGAGGGCATATTCCCAGCGTGCAGAGGAGAAAACGGACTCCTGGAGGGTGACAGAGCCACCCGAGGGGCAGTTTTGGGGGCCATCGGGCTCGGGAACCTACCTGTCCCGGTCCAACAAACATCAGGTTCTCATAAGCTCCTAAGGCACATGTTTCATAACGGGAAGTATGAATTTTCCCACTGGCTTCTAATCCATGACCCTCCTGGACTAGCTCAGTTTTTCCTCCTTTTAATAGAGACCCTGTTACAGAGAAATAAATACCTCTCCTCTAAGGAAAGCAAGAGCCCAGGGGAGGTGGACACGAGGCAGATGCCACTCAGCCGCAACACTGGGGAGGCTTTAGGGCAGAGTGGGGATTGTGGCAACCTGGCGATCCCTGCATCCGAGTTTGCAATTTCCACCTAAAACTTGTAGTAGTTGCTGGTGCGAGTGTAAAATGCTGGGGTCACTTTGGAACATGCTAGGTAGCTCCTCCAAAGAGTTCCGGTATGACCTAGCAATTCCACTCCTAGGTTTTCACCCGAGAGAAATGAAGACATATATTTACACAAAAACATAGACATGAATATTCACAGTAGCATTATTCATAAGAGCCCAAAGGGAAAGTGACCTCACTATCCATCAACTGATGAAATGTGGTGGATCCGTCCATACCCTAGAATATTATTCAGCCAGGGGCGCCTGGGCGGCTCAGTTGGTTAAGTGTCCGACTTTGGCTCAGGTCATGATCTCACAGTGCATGGGTTTGAGCCCCGTGTCAGGCTCTGCGCTGACAGCTCGGAGCCTGGAGCCTGCTTCGGATTCTGTGTCTCCCTCTCTCTCTGTCCCTCCCCTGCTCATGCTCTTGCTCTCTCTCTCTCTCTCAAAAATAAACATTAAAAAAAAGAATATTATTCAGCCAAAAAAAGGAATGAAGATCAGATGCATGCTACGATGTGTATGAACCCCAGAAACATTATCCTGAGTGAAATAAGCCAGACGTAGCCGCAAGCTATATAATTCCATTAATATGAAACATGTACAAGAGACAGATCCATAGGGCCAGGAAGTGGATGTGTGGCTGCCAGGGGCCAGGGCTGGGGGGTGGCTGCTGATGGGTACGGACTTTCTTTGGGGGTCAATGAAAATTTCCTGGAATGAGGTAGTGGTGACGACTGCACAATCATGTAAATGTACTCAGCACGTGCTCAGTGTGCTGGGTATTCTGAATGGAACGCTTCAGAAAACTCATTTTGGATTTTCTCAGGGTTGGGGAGGGAATAGTATAGTATTTGCAATCCCTTTGGAAGGGTCCTGTCGTTCTCACAACGGGCTCTGAACTCCGTGACTTGGCCCCACACGGTCCGTCTATGCTCACCGCTCCAGCCTCACCGCTGACCTTGAGCTCCACACCACCCACCACTGGCTGAGAGGCCTTGGTCTTTGCAGCCTTGGGGCATCTGCATAAGCTGTCCACCCCGCCCTCCAGGCTTTCTCCCCCATTTTTCAGTCCTTCCTGTGAAGGTCAAAGCCCAGGAAGCGGTCTCTCTTCTAAGTCCGGCCAGGGCCCCGCTTTGCGGTTGCCAACACACCAGCCTGTCTCACTCAGGTCCTCATCCAGAGTCCCCACATGCCACCATCTGGGGATCAGGAGTCTCCCGCTCACCCCAGGGTAGCTCATAATGCGGTTTCAACTAATGGTGGCCAAGTAAATACTGGTAAGATTTGGGTTCAAGAGGAGCCCCCGGGTGGCTCAGTTGTTTCAGCGGCAGGCTTCAGCTCAGGTCGTGATCTCAGTGCTCGTGAGTTCGAGCCCCACGTCTAGCCTCCGTGCTGACAGCTCAGCGCCTGGAGCTTTGGTTTCTGTGCCTCCCCTTCTGTCTGCCCCTATCCTGCTTGTGCCCTGTGTCTCTCTGCCTCTCAAAAATAAATTTAATATGTTAAAAAAAAAAAGATTTGGGTTTGAGAACCTCACTACTGTTACTCTACTTACAGGGGAGCAGAGACTCAGAATTTGCTGGCGGGGCGGGGGGTCACACACGGAAAGAGGCGGCATCAGGATCGGAACCCAGGCAGTAGGACTCTGGAGCCGGGGGGGGGGGGGGGATGCTATCTGGTGGGTGGAGACCCAGATGCTGCGACACACACAGGATGCCCCCCCGCCCCCCAACGGCAGGCCCAAAGCACCAACAGCACCAAGCCTGGGACACCCTGCTGTGGGGGCCATCCTGTCTCATTAGTGCCCCCTCCCCCCACCCCGCTCGGGATGAAGAGGCCAAAATCCTGACACAGGGCTCCTGCCGCCCGATTTCTCGTCATCGGGCCATCCCGGGACCCTTCCCGTGTTCCCATCCGTTCCGGGGCTCCTTCCTGCCTCTGAGCCTCTGCCCGAGGTGCCCCCCTGCCCATCCCCCACCAACATCACCCCTCCCACTCCTCCTCCAGGGGCCCGTGGCCCCCACTCCCCAGCCACCACTTAGCTCCAGGCACCTGCCTCCCTCCAGAGCGGCCTCGGCCACCGTGTCCGCAGGAAAGCGGCCCCCAGAGAGTCCACGTCCTCAGTCCCAGAACCTATGAAGACATTACAGGGCAAGCGGGCCTGTGCAGGTGGGGTTGAGGATGGGCACGACAGTGCTGGACGACCCAGGGGACCACGGGGTCCTTGTGGGGGGTCAGGAGGGTCAGAGTGTAAGAGAGACTGGAAGGAGCTACACGTGGGGCGGACATGGAGGCAGAGCCGAGAAAGGCAGGAAGCTTCTGGAAGGCGGAAAAGGCCAGGATGTGGATATAAACCCACGATGTGTGACGCCCCTAAGTTTGCGGGAATTTGTCACAGGGGCCGCTGGGGCCCACCACGGGAGTGCTCTGTGCCAGGCCCCTCCCGCTGGAAGGCGGCCAAGGGCTGCCCCGCCGCCCCCCCCCCCCCCCCCCCCCCCCCCCCCCCCCCCCCCCCCCCCCCCCCGGCCAGGGCCCCGCACTGCATATAGTAGGCGCTCAGCAAGGGTCAGCGGGCTGGCTGCGAAGGCAAGAGCTGGGCCAACCCAACCAGGCAAGAATCAGGACTTCCAACCTTCACATTTTCTTTCCTCTGTCAAACGTGTGGCATAAAATTCAAATGAATCAGCGATTCCAAGGGCAAAGTTTTAATTATATTCCTGCCTCATTCTCTGCTGACAAGAATGTTAACTCTCTGCTAACTCTAGCGTTGGCTGCGCTGCCCCCTCCTCCGCGGCTTGCGTCCCCTCTGTCCAGGTGACCACTATTAACGCTCTTTCAAGCCCCCCGACCTTTCGCTGTGTGAGCAGCCAGGACCCCAGGCCGAGGGCCCCGGTACGGTTAAGAGCTTGGGCACGAGGGGATGAAAGAGGAGGTCCCAGCTTCAAGGAATGAGCTGTGTCACCCTGGGAAAGTGGCTTTACCTCTTGGAGTTAATGCTCTTCCTCTGGGACAGGGAGGGTACCGTGCAGCAAGGACAAAAATGAGATACCACACAGCTTAGGCCGGTGCTCAGCCAGGAACAAGGCAGGCGAGGCAGTCGGCTGTGGTGGGGCCTGGGGAACACGGGCCTTACCTGAGGGCCAGCTGCCACATGGCTCTAGAAAACTACAGCCCGGGGCTTAGAAACGTTCTCCTTCTGAATTTGGGTCATCCTCACCGGGGAGTGTATGTGTGTAAAAATTCACTGAACTACTCACTTACGATGTATGTGTTTCAGGGGCGCCTGGGGGGCTCAGTTTGTTAAGCATCTGACTTCAGCCCAGGTCATGATCTCACAGCTGGGGAGTTTGAGCCCCTAGATGGGCTCTGGGCTGACAGCTCAGAGCCTGGAACCAGCTTCGGATTCTGTGTCTCCCTCTCTCTCTGCCCCTCCCCAACTTGCACTCTGTCTCTCTCTCAAAAATAAACATTAAAAAAAAAAAAAAAGGTGTGTGTACTTCATGTATTTATACCTTGAGAAATACAATCCGGAGATTCAAGTATTTAAGGAAATATGAGCTAAGTGCTATCAAAGCTTTTGAATTTCCAAAAGAAGCTTAAAAGTCAGATATTTAGGGGCGCCTGGGTGGCTCAGTCTGTTAAGCGTTGGACTTCGGCTCAGGTCATGATCTCACGGTTCGTGGGTTCGAGCCCTATACGGGGTTCTGCGCTGCCAGTGCAGAGCCTGCTTGGGATTCTCTCTCACTCCCTCTTTCTCTGCCCCTCCCCAACTCGCTCTGTCTCAAAATATAAAAATAAACTTTTTAAAAAGTCAGATTTTTACAAAAAGTACCCTGATTTTTAATTTTTTAAAATGTTTAGTCATTTCTTGAGAGAGAGAGACAGAGAGACAGAGCACGATTGAGGGAGGGGCAGAGAGAGCCCGACCGCAGGGCTTGAACCCATGAATCATGAGATTATGAGCTAAGCCAAACAACCTGAGTCGGACGCTTAACCGACTGAGCCACCCAGGTGCCCCAGTACCCTGGCACTCTATATAAATTCATATTGGTCATAGCTTTTAAAATACCATGTAAGTAGACCCTCTTTCGCCACCAACCCCCTGAACTGGGTCTAACGCCCAATCAGCATTTCGGAAGAGAGGACGGGAGAGCCAGAACAAGCCCACAGATCTCGCAAAGAAAGCTCACTCTTCCCAACGCACCTCCAGCTGGTCCACTTTGGCATAGATGCCCCGCATTTCTGTCACCTTGGCCTTGAGGAGTGGGATGTTTTCCTCCAAGATCTGTGAGGTGTCACTCCGGATCTGAAAGAAACAGAACAGCTCACCAGGCCCTCTGCCCCATTCCCCCAGCCTCCTGCCTGCCTCTGGGGTCACTCAGGCTCTGCAGGGACCTCGTGGATGGCCACGATGCCGAGTGGCACCCCGCACAAGGCCAGGCCAGACCCAGAGGCAACCAAACTCAGTGCTTCTCGGGACCCAGACCTACCCAGGAATCATTGACTGCTGTTTCCCACCAACACCTGACAATACCAGTCCCAAACTAAAGGTCTCTGTTTTCTTAAAAAAATTTTTTTTAATGTTTATTTTTGAGAGAGACAGAGCATAAGTGGGGGAGGGGCAGAGAGAGAGGGAGACACAGAATCCAAAGCAGGCTCCAGGCTCTGAGCTGTCAGCACAGAGCCCAGCACGGGGCTCGAACTCACAAACCTTGAGATCATGACCTGAGCCGAAGTCGGCCGCTTAACCGACCAAGCCCCCCAGGCGCCCCAAGATCTCTATCCTTTAAACCACTCAACTGGAGCAAATGGAAAGATTCCAGATCTCTTCTCTAAACCCAAGTCGAGAGAAGTTGAGTTTTCACTGCATTGAAATTAATAATACTAACAAGTTAATAATAATCACTAACATTCATTAATGATGTTAATGAAAACCACAGCTGTCAAGTATCAAAGTGCTTCCCATTCGCAGACACCACGCTAGGCATTTCCCGCACACTATCTCATTTAATTTCTCATTTAATTTTCAATTTCTTCTGCTTGGAAGGGCTTCAGAAGTGGCCATGACCTTTAACAAAGCCTCGTCCTTCCCGCAATCACTGAAATCAGTGATTGGATTCTGCTTCTGTTTTACTCAAGAGCCAAAGATCACGCCAAACCCCTCCCTGAGAGATACAGACCCCATCTCTGTGTTAATCACGTCCTTGCAATTCGGGAGCAAATGCCGCTCTCAGAATATAGGGAGCGTCGAGATCCCCCAAGGGCCTCCTGTCCAATGCTGATTCCCAGGCCCCTCCATGTCTGGTTTGGGGTGCCTGAGGTCAGCTGGGAATCCGTGTTGTCAGCTAAGCCCTGAGGCCATGCTGGGGTTGGACCCTGAGGGCAGTCAGAGAACACCAGTGGGCACCCTGGGAGCCGGACTCAGCCTGGAGTCTGAGCTGTGTGACCCTGGGCAAGTCACCGCACCTCTCTGAGCCCTCCTGTGCTTCTCTGGACAGTGAAGCAACGGCAATGGCTCTGGCTTCCTTGGCAGGCGGTGAGGACAGAACATCCGGCAGAGTGTTGGGCACGGCTCGTCTAGGCGGCTCCTGACACAGTCCCCCGTGACCACCGCCTCCTGCACAGCCGCTGTGTAACCCTCCCCTCCCCCCACCCTGGATCGTGAGAAGCAGCGATTTGCTTCTAATGGAGGGGTCTCAGCCAAAATGACAGGTGCCACTCTGGAGACAGGGTTACACAGAGGACTGTCATTCCAGCTCGCTCTCTCTCTCTCTCGCTGGCTCGTTCACGCACACTCCCTGTCTCCCCCACATCTCTGTCACCTGCCTTCTCAGCCACCAGCAAACTGAGGGGATGGAGAGGCCCACGTGGCTAGGGACGGAGGGCGGGCTGCAGCCTCCCGCCGGAGAGCAGTGAGGCGCCACCGCTGACTCGGCTGGACCTCCCCGCGCCGCCCGGCTCGGCCACGCACACCCCCGACCCCCAGGCGCTGCTGAGGAGGGAGCCCGTTGTTTTCCGTCGCCAAGTTCTGGGACGCTGTGTTAAGCAGCAACACACAACTAACCCAGGCAGGCAGACAGCTCAGCACAAGGCTTTCATGTGACACATGCTTTGAAAACTATGCTTTTCCTCTTCTTTCTACCTAAATACATGAGACTTCCTGTGGTCCTCCTGGAAAGCGCTCCCACCGCCCCGCGGGGTGACACCCTCCTCCTTGCCCTGGTCTCAGAAGTGACCCCATTCCCTGAGTGTCCCCAAGTGTCCCCTCCTGCCTCTCCTCCGGTCACAGCGTTGCGGTTTCCCTGGGAGTCTGGCTCCAGTCCACCGTCCGGAATGTACTCCTGCCCCAAGCCCTGACGCCGGCGGGCACAAACGGGCCCCGAGAGGGCGACATCTGGCCTTAGTTTCTGCCCTGACCTCCCTGTGCCTGTTTCCTTGTCTATAAAATGGGCACCATACAAGTACTTTTCTTCAAAGAATGCTCTGGAGACGAAACGAGACCAACTACGCCTGGATGTGGCCCCCACATGCGCTTCGTGTGGCCCCCAGAATATCTCAGTGTTTTAAGAGGACTTAATTTCCAACTTTAAGACAAGCAGGGTCGCTATGAGAAATGGCTGATTCTAGGGCCGGGGCAGGGAAAGCAGAGTGCCTGGAGAATCCCGTAGCGTCCGAATGTAAGGGAGTGTTCCTTTATTTACCTAAACTTATTTTTATTAAGTAACCTCTATGCCTGGTGTGGGGCTCAAACTCACAACCCCAGGATCATGAGTTGGGGGCTCCACCGACGGAGCCAGCCAGGCACCCCTGTACGGGAGTGTTTAAAAACACAAAGGACAGGGGCGCCCGGGGGGGGCTCCGTCGGTTGAGCGTCCGACTTCGGCTCAGGTCATGATTTCATGGTTCGTGAGTTCGAGACCCGCGTTGGGCTCTGTGCTGACAGCGAGGAGACGGCTTCTGATCATCTGTCCTTCTTTCTCTCTGTCCCTCCACCACACGCTTGCTCTCCCTCTTTCTCTAACGTTAACAAAAACATTAAAAATAAAAGATAAAGGATGGGCCATGTCAAAGGAACACAGGAGCCAACGTGAAAGAGACAAATGGTCAAAGCTGGGACAATGTGGACAACAAAATACCTAATATAATATCGGACTCTGGTACCCAAAGCACAAGAACACGCCACAAATGATAGGAGAGCAGAAACGGCAAGGCCGTGTGGGAGCCACGTGCCAGACACGATGTGAAGAGAAGGCACCTCGCCTCCGCGGGTTCTCTCTAGAAACCCACCACCCCAGTCTCACCTGGAGAGAAACATCAGATGAACCCAAACGGAGGGACCTTCTCCAGAGCACCTGACCGGGGCTCCTCGAAACTGCCAACGTCATGAAAAGCAAGGAAAGACGGGAAGTGCCACAGGAGGCAACACTAAGCAGACGTGACGACTTCACGCGACGTGGGATCTCCTGTGGTGCTGGGGCGCCTTAATCCTGGACATGAACGGGAAACTGGCAGAATCGGGATCGAGTGTGGAGATGAGTGAGTAGCAATGCACCCGTGTTAGTTTCTTAGGTTTTTTGTTTCTTTAATGTTTACTTGAGAGAGGAGGGCGAGAGAGAGACAAGATCTTAAGTGGCCTCTGTGCTGACAGCAGGGAGCCAGACGCGGGGCTTGAACTCAAGAACCACGAGATCATGACCTGAGCCAAAGTTTGATGCTTAGCTGCCTGAGCCACCCAGGCACCCCTTGGTTTCTTAGTTTTGACAAAGGTACTGTGGCTGATGCAAGATGTTAGCCCGGGGGCGGGGGGACTGGGTGAGGGGCATATGGACACCCTCTGTACTATCTTTGCACTTTTTCTGCAAATCTAAAATGATTCCAAAATAAAATACATAAATATGGCTTCAAAATATTCCAGTGATTAAGTGGGGACACTGGACCCACATCCCCCAGGCATCAAAGGCCGGGCTGAGCCGTGGCTGCTTGCTCCAGGGGTGGGGGCCTGAGCTCTCGGTGTCCTCAGTCACCGCCCCTCCCTAATGCCTCACCCCTGCCCCTTTCACTCCTGTCCAGATCCTGCCTGGCTCCTGCGAGCACCGACACGTGTTACCCCTGATGGGCAAAAGCCCTCACATCTTCCATTTTGTTCCCCGCAAGGCCAAATTTCTGGAGCCCTCCCCGTCCCTGCACAAGGCTGAGCTCTGGAGAAATCGCCATGATTCAGTGAATGCAACAGAGAACAGAGAACTCCCGGCAAGGTCAGGACACAGCAGATCAAATGCAGACCTTTTATTTCTGCTAATTTCTAAAGAAACGAATATGGCGAGAACAAGGGCAGTGAGGAGGGCCTGGTCCCAGGAGCCACCAGGGCGAAGGGGACACTGCAGAGGGGAGCCTGATGGGGCGTGTCCCGGCCTCCCTCCAGCTCCGGAGGAATTCCAGGAAGAGAAGGTCTGTGGCTGGGCAAGGGCGCCCCTCTCCATTTGCCAAAACTGTGGGTAATGGGGGGCTGTCTACACCTGCCTGCACGGCAGGCTGTGTGTGCGGGGGGTGGGGGGAGTAGAAAGTAATCCCTGGGGTCCAAAAGGCCCCCAACCCTTCCTCTTGGTTCCCCCACAAGCTGGGAACCGTAAAGCGAAAATCAGGGTGAGGGGGGCCCCGATGCCAGTACTCTGTGAGCTTTCGCCTTGTGCCAAGAACCGAGCCTGTGAATCAGAAACTTGAACCTTTTATCTTGAACCTTTCAAGGGTGGTGACGCTGAGCAAGACAGAAAAACGAAATGAGCCGCCCAAGGTCGCAAGGCTACGGAGTGGGAGATGGAGGGCTGTGATCCGGGTTGGTCCGAGGTCTGCAGCCGCGTTCTGCCAGCCCCGGGCGGAGTCAGCCTACACCGTGTCTAAAACAACCAAAAGCCCACCCGAGCTAGGTGCCCGGATCTAAGGAGGTTTCCCTTAGAAACCCAGATTCCCGGCTTCTTGTGAAAAATCAGAAGGCCAGGCCATCCTGAGTCCATGCCCCGTGCGAGAGCGATCAGCCGGAGCTGGGACAGCCGCCCCCTCTGGTTAACCGCGGTCTCTACCACTCCCTGTGGCCACCCGGTGCCCCCCTCCCTTTCCAGGGGAGCCCAAGGAAAGCAACGCATTTCGCTTCTCACACCCGCTTCACATCATCACGTCACAGGCATCCGAGATGGCACGTTTTGTTCGAGAAGCACACAGAGAGGTCAGTGATGAATCGATCCTATTTGAGCGTCTGCCAGGATGAACCCCCAGCCGGGGTCATTGGCCTGGGGACCCGGCCCACCCTCCCCCAGCCTGGTCTCCCACCATCTCCCCAGAGGTGGCCTCCGGAGCCAGGAGTCTGGGCAGCGGATGTGGGGGTTATCACCGGGCAAAGACAGCCGTCCAAGATGATTCAGGGCCCCCAGGAAGGAGAGCCAAATGCACTTGACCCAAGAACACACACCAATGCCAAATGCAAGTGCTGGCCCAGGGCCAACAAGTGAGCGAAGGAAAGAGCCTCCTCCCTGCCAGGGGCGGGGGCTCCCAGGGCCCAGACAAGAGACCGGAACTGCAGGGGGCTCTGAGCAGAAGGCCTTACGAATCCTCTTCACCGTCACTGCCTCCTGGGCCTTCCATTGTGACAACAGTGACCCTAGGAGCCACCATGTACACAGAGCCTCATACGGAGCCGGCACCCGGCGAAGCAATTATTTTTAATTACTTTTAATGGAATGGAAATGACATACAGCCAAGTGCTCAGGCCTCAAGTGGCCAGTTGGACGCATTTTGTACGGATGTTCAAATCCATGTCACTGCCACCCAGGCCGAAGTGTGGAACACCCCGTCACCCCGAAGGCCCCTCCTACCTCCTTCCAGTCATGGCCACGCTCGCAAAGCTAACTCCCCAACACCGTGAATTCGTTTGGGCTATTTCTGAACTTCATATAATGGAAGCCACCACAGCACGGACTCTGTGCCTGCCCCTGGGCCTCAAGCTCATGAGACACATCACTGATGTCACGTATAGTTCATTCCTTCACGGTGCCGTGAGGTCCAGGGTGTGAAGAAACAACAGCGGATCGCCCCGTTTCTACAGCCGGTGGACACCGAGGTGCTTTCTGGTCTGGAGCACCCTGAACAGAGCTGCTACGGACATTTGGGCACGAGGCTTTGCAGACTCTTGTTTCCATTTCTCTTGGGTAATCATCTCGGATGACAGTCGCCAGGATGCAGGGTCGGGGCGTGTTTGACTTTAGAAAAATCTGCCGAACTGTTTCCGGACTGGCTGTGCCTTTTCGCGTCTCTGCCAGCAGGGAGATGAGCGGTGTGTCGCCCCACAGCCTCGCCTGCCTTTTCACTGCGGTCACCGCAGTGGACGTGAAGCGTGCACATCCCCGCCTCACCCGGTCCACACGGTAACTCTCTGGAGAGAGATGCCATCTGCAGTAGATTCAAGAAGGGCCACAAGTCCTTTCCATTCCTCCCATGAACACGTGGGGTCTGTGTCCTCTCCCCGTGGATCTGGGTGCGCTGTGTGACTGTTGTGACCAGTAAAGCAGGACAGAAGTGACACTGTCATACCCAAGTGTCTAGACACCCGGCAGTTTCCACTTTCCATCTGTTGGAATGTCTGAGCTTGGGAGGGCCTGATGCCACACGCCGGAAGCCCAAGCCAGCCCCGAGGGAGGCTGCATGGGGAGAAGGGATGCCCGCCGGTCCGCGGCCATCGGTGCTCCCAGCCCAGACACCAGAGAAGTGGGAGGAAGAGCCACATTGGACATCCCCGCTCCAGCAGGTGCCATATCCCCTCTGTGCCCTGCCCTGGCCCACGTACTAACTTGGTGGTCGTTTCACCCCACTACATTCTGGGGTAGTTTGATGCAGACAGAACCATGACCTCCATTTTACAGGGGAGAAAAGAAAGGTAGGGAGAGATGATGGGCTGTGCCCAAGACCCCGTAGCAGGAGTCCGAGCCTCAAGTGGCAGCAGTAAGCTCTCTATCTAACGTCTAAACAGGCGGCAGGCACAGGGCAGTGAATTCCAGTCACATAGAGCGATCAAGGACAGGCTGGCAGTGGACTTAATGCATCAGACAGGAAGCTGGCCTCCCGTTTCTAATAGCTGATTTGATCGGAAGGGGAGCGGCTTCTCTCTGGTCACCAGGAAGCTGGCCACTCTCGGACCTCTAACTTGATCACGGTTTCCAAAGGCCAAAGCAGGGAGCTGGGGACGATGGTGTGACATCACCTGTCCCTGCAAAGGCCCCCACTCATCCCTAGCTTGCATCAAAAGAGGAAAGGAGGGCCCAAGCTGGCCGCCTCTCTGTGCCATGTGTGCAGATGCACTGGGGAAACTAAGCATCAGCTCATGGGGCCTAGAGGATCTCCGTGATCTAAGTGGCATCAGCCCTGAGCACTGTCGCAGGGGCCGCAAAAGCATTGTTGCAGGCACATCTGTTAACGCAGGCACACTTGTTTGTGTAGAAACACGTGAGATGGTCCTCACTCCCGTGGGAAATGCACTCTCTTCCCTTTCTTGAAACACAAGACCCTCTCGGTCTGGTTTTATTTGCCCATTTTCAGTAGGACCCAAAATACAGAGAAACATAGCCTCTGCCATAAAACATGTGAGCATGTGACAGCTGTACGTGGCAGGTGGCCATGGAGTCAGGGGGCCCCAGGAGCAGTGGCCAGTGACAAGTGGAGAGCTCACGCGCCGTCCGCAGTGGGGCGGCCACGACGGCGCTCCGGCCAGCACCGGCCAGGTGGGGCCAGGCACCCAGGGGGAGCCAGATTCTAGCTCTTCCAAACAAGCCAGAAATCCTGATTTTTTTTTTTTATTTGCATGACATTCTATAAATGTCAGCAGTGAATTCCTTTTTCTTTTCCTTCCAGCAACAGCCAACGTATCTGCAGGCGGGCCTGGGTCCATGGGTCCTGTGGGTGATCTCGGTATTGCAGTCTTTGCATACGTGCGTCTCCAGGCTTGCAGCTGGGGGAGGGCCTTGGCAGCACTGCCTGACACCGTGCCCTCTGGGCGACACACACGGGCTCCCCTCCCCACGAGGCCTTGATGGTTTCAAAGGCAAGGTGGCCGGATGCCTCTTCCTACCCAGGCTGACTCCTGCCCCAAGCTCTCCCCTTAGGCGGATAGTGGGCCTCCTCTCAAGGAGGAAGGTGGCTGAGACTTGAGAACAAAATGTCCCTGGGTCACCAGTCCACCCATCTTCCAAATCCGCCCCCTGCCCCGGGCCCCCACAGTCCACACTGTGCCCGGCACACCATACCCACAGGCTGGTGCCTCTGTCTGGATGCCCGCCCTCCCCAGCGGCTAAAATCTTTCTGTTCCTCCTTCAAAGCCCCAAATTAATCACCACCCGCTCTGCAAAGCCTTCCCAACTTCCCAGGCAGAATCTTAACGCCTCTGCTTTTCTTTCTTTCTTTTTTTTAAACAAATTAAGTCTTGGGATCATGTGCTCAGTTCCTTCTAGACCCTCCCTCTTCAAAACCTTTGCAGTCTCCTTTTGCACCCTGAACACACCTTTAGGCCATTGCTTCCACACTGGGTGACAGCCCCGGTCACACACAGTGGGGTCCCCCCTCCCACAGAGGGGAGGGAGGCAGGGCCGACTTTCTTCGAATGGCCAGGCTCACCTCGGCCCCGAAGTCAGGGCAGGTGTCCGACGGCTGGTGATGAGGAAAGGGCTCTCAGGGCTGTTCCAGGTCTGTCTCGTTTCCCAGTGCCCGCCTGGACCCACACCCCGACTAGAAAGTTGGTTCTCAAGAGCAAAGCACACGCACGTCCTCTTGGGAACGTTTATGTCGTGTTCACCGTTGTGTCCCCAGGGGCCGGCACAGGGCAGGGCCGGTGAGTGAATGGCGGTGACACGGTGCCCATCACGCGGGCCTGCTTCAAGGAGACGTGGGAGGACACGGGAGACACACTTTGTGCCGTGCCTGGCGCCGAGTAAGTGTTCGAGAAACGTACGGGCTGTTGTGGCTACTGCTCCTCTGGGGAAACATTTCTCCAGACCCGGGCTTCACAGGGGCACAAATCTACCCCCACTGGGTCCAGCAGGGCCTCCTTGGCTCCAGAGAGAGGCGGGTCCTGGTCACAATATGGAGCTCTACCCTTCGGGCCCTCAGGCCTTAAACCGAGGTGGCTGGGAACTTCCAGAAAATTCTATGAGTGCTCCTCAGGGCCCCACGCCTGGCTAGCAACAATGCCGGGGACACAAGGGTCTTAGAGGAGAGTTTTGCGAAATGTGTAATGGAGGCCTTGTCTCCTGGGCCTGAGGCACCATCTTCCGTCTTCTTCCCCGCCCAGCCAAGAGGGTTTGATCCCACAAAACCAGGAAGGGGCAAAGGCAGAGGCGGCAAAGGGATCTGAGAAGGCACGTGATGCCCAACCCTGCCTCGGGCTACAGCCTGGGCAAGAGGCTCCTCCCAGGCCTTGCAGGCCCGAAGCCATTTCCTGGCTGTCTCCATGTTTGCCTGGCGGACCGCGCAGGGCCAGGAAAGTTAAATATAGTCTGAGCATCCCCGCTGAACGGCTCCCCGCATCGGTGCCCGAGAGTGCCACCTGGTGGCCCACTTCTGGCTCCTCTGTGGAATAGGAGCCATGTGGGGGGGATGGGCATTACCAAGATGGCCGCCTCGGGAAGCTTGGTGTGGAGAGACGGCGTGAGAGAGAGTGTGCGCTGCTGCCCTCATTCCTTCTGGGTGCCAATTCACCACCAAAATGGCTTCCCCAGAAAACTCCAGGAAGGACCTGGAGTCTGGCCTGGGCCTAAATCCACACCACCCCGGGCAGACACTCACCATGTCAGTCAGGCTGCAAAACTCTTCCAGCCTGAGGAGCATCCCCTCGATGGTCTCCTCCACCTCCTTCGCCTGAAAAGAGACAATATCCTGGAGATTAGCAACTGGTTTCCAGGGAGACTAACGCCCTTCACTTTTCTTTTTTTTTTTAAGCAAACTAAGTCTTAGGATTATCTGCCCAGTTCCCTTCAGACCTCCTTTCCCTTTTCAAAACCTCTCATAGCCTCGTTTAAAATAGTGATAATCACGCAGCGTTCTTGACGCCTGTGGACAGAGCCACAGGGGACCATCCACTCCAGGCAGCGTTCAAAGGAGATGGGATAAATGTGAGCACGACCAGAACACAGCTACCCTTACCACTCCATTGTTCAGATAAGGAAACTGAGGCTCAGAGAGGAGAGGTGGCCCTGCTTGAGGGCACAGAGCTAGCGAGGGGTGGGGCCGGGATTCCCACGTAGGTCTGAGTCCACAGCCTCAAAGCCTGCTCTTGACAAACTCTGAGAAATGCCTCCTGGGAAACACAATGGACAGTGAACACAAGACGCAGAAGGCAGAGAATATAAACCTATTATTCTTGTAACGGCACACAAAGAACGTACATGGCTTAACAGAAAGGCCTGGAATGATACAGACCCAACTGCCCAAAGTTAGGGGATGTACTTAACACTAAACGATTATTCAGTCTGAAATTCAAATGTAACTGGGTACCCATACTTTACCTGGCAACACTATTCACAGGGCTAACTTAGTCCTGGGGAGCACAAAATGGGGAATGGGGTCTGACAAGGGAGCCTTGAAGGGTCCCCAACTCCAAGTACTAGGGCTGGGCAGTAACTTCATGGGTGACGTAGGCGGGCCGCTGGGGCTCTGGTGATCTGAGGAGCGTCTGCCCAAAACCAGAACAGCCAGCAGCCATCAGTAGACACGCTTGGCCCTGCCAGAACCTTCCATCTTGCAAGAGAAGCCAGAAATTTTAATTTAATGGGAAATGTGCCAATTTTCAAAGGGTAGCACAAATTTAAAAACAAAAATTTTTTTTAACTCCAGGGCCAAGCCAAACATGACCGTCAAAGGGTCTGCCAGCCTACAACCCCACTTAAGTCCTTTGTGTAAAAATTTGTTTGAACCCTTATCTTCTCTCAAGTATTTACTATATTCATGACTTATAGCTGGGTTTTGTTTTGTTTTTATTTTTTAATTTTTTTAACGTTTACTCATTTTTGAGAGACAGAGAGAGATCGACACACACAGCATGAGCAGGGGAGGGGCAGAGAGAGAGGGAGACAGAATCTGAAGCAGGCTCCAGGCTCTGAGCTGTGAGCACAGAGCCCCACACGGGGCTCGAACCCATGAACCATGAGATCATGACCGAGCCAAAGTCCTACACTTAACCAACTAAGCCCCCGAGGCGCCCCTGTTTTATTTGTTTTAATGACCCAGTATCTAGGAAGAAAGTTCTCCTGGAACGTGAACCACTTTGTCTGACTTCCCAGACCACATCATTCTGCGCCAGGAAAGTGACACCAGACATTTCCGGGCAGGCCTACTACCTGCCCCCCCCCCCCCCCCCCCCCCCCCCCCCCCCCCCCCCCCCCCCCCCCCCCCCCCCCCCCCCCCCCCCCACTCGTCCCTGGAGATGTTTAGACAGTGCCAGAGCTGTCGCCACCACCACAGCATAAACGACTGTGCAGAAAAACATCTTTCCGGCTGGAGTAAAAATAGTACCAAGTTGCAATTTTAAACTCTGGAACCTTCATCTCACAGCTGGGACTATTTCTGTGCCTGAACGGGGGAGGCTTGACAGGGAAGGGGACCACAGCAGAGCGAGGACGAAGAGACTCACAGGAAGTTCTCTCCACCCCCCAAAAGGAAGATCACGGTCAAAAACGCCCTTACTGCACTAAGAGGGGAAGAAGGAGCCAGGAGGCCGCGGAGACGGGAGAGAGGAAGGTCGGTGGCTTCCCTTCTGCAGCAGAGGAAGGGAAGAGACGGGAGACCGACGGGCGGTGCTGGCCCCTCCAGAGCGCAGGCGTCCACACCCCAGACCCCAGGCCACACACGCTTAGGAAATCAAACCTGCAGAGGAACATGAAAGCCCATGGCCCAGCCAGATGGGCGCCTCCTTCTCCCGAGGGGCCTGAAGACAGCAAGCACATCTCAACCTGTCACAGGGGGTTCAGAAGGCAGGGGAGGGGGTGTCAGGCAGCCCTGTGTTCAGGGGCCACCTTCTCTTTTGCCAACATGTGACCTTAATTCAAGGGCTTACCCTCTGCATTTCAGTTGGCTCGCCTGTTAGCCACACCCACTTGGTAGGGCTGTTAAGAGGTTAACCTCACATGACAAATGTGGTTCAATCATTTACGAGTGCTGACACACAGTAGGTGCATAATAAGTGGTTGCTTTATGTATCTCTCTCCCTAGATAATAAAGAGTGGTTAATCACCATATAGGGATTATTTCATTCAACCCTCACGAGAACTTGATACAGGAGGGGCTGTCATTTCCCCCTCTTTCACGCACTGAGAAACAGAGGACCAGAGAGCTTAAGCCACTTGTTCAAGGTCACACAGCTCATATGTACCGAAGCCAGATTTGACCCTGAGTGCTCCGAGTCCAGAGCTGACGTCTGTAACTGCCGACAGGCTCTCTGGAGACGGGGAAGTGTGTCTCCTTTATGGCTGTCTGTCAGCTGTGGTCCCCACCCCTTCTCCCCCCTCCTAGTACCTAGGATAAGTACCCCAAGGCAGGAGAGAGTACAGAAAGCACCTGCTAGCTGGCCAGCAGAGGAGGAATGAGCCCCATGACATTCCCAACCAACAGGAAGGAGCTCGGGATTAGCCAAGCCACCGTGCCCACAAATCATTCGCGGGACAATTTTCTCTCGATAATCCCCTAAGTGGCCTCAGAAATGAGAGTCCTGTAGGCTGCAGCCCACACGCCTTTTTAACCGGCCCCTCAGCACAACGAATGCCGCCGTCATCCTGTGCAAACTCCCTGGGCATAAACTGTCCCCTCCCAGGGGAAGACAGCAAATGGCTCGCTCAGAGTGACATTCAGGGCACCGCCGGTGGGGACGGCAGGTGGGCGTGAATCATGGCCTCTACGTTCTCCTTACATAAATCTCCCAAAATGCCAATCCAGGCTTCCCGGCTGGGCCAGGCCACAAAACCAAACCAGGGCTGGCCCCCGCCCCTGAATGACAGGCGCACCCCCCCCCCCCCGGCCGTGGTCTTCTCCAAGTCAACGGGGCGGAGGCGCTGCTGTCCAGCTGCTCAAGGCCAATACCCGAGAGCGTCCTTGAGGTCGTCCTTCCGGAGCCCGCCCCGTCCACCGGGTATGCGGATCCTCTGCTCTGCCTTCGGACCGTAGCCCAAGTCCGGAGGCTTCTGTCCACCCCCCTGGCGCGGGCACTGTCCTCTCCCACCGGACCTACATCCTTCTTGGTCCCCCTTCAGTCTACGCCTCCTACTTCAGCCTGTTCCCTGTCAGAACCGACGCCCTCCTCAGCTGGAAACCCTCCACTGGCCTGCGTCACGGCCACCAGGGTGGCTACGGCCACAGAAATGGGGGGGTGACAAGTGTCAGTGAGGATGTGGAGCCACCAGACCCTCCCCCGCCACCGGTGAGATGTGACGCCGCGCACTGCTCTGGAAGCCAGCCCGGCGCTCTTCTAAGACAGTGAACGCAGAGTTGCCCCGAGACGCAGCAAGAAGAGTCAAAGGGGCAGAAAACGTGACGTTCTTACAAAAGCCGGTGAGGTAGTCATGGCAGCCACGACGTGGAAATGACTCCGGGCCCGTCAGGTGAGGAATGGACACAAGAAGCGCCACGCGCACGTTACGGAGTATTACACGGTAGTAAAAAGGGATGCCTGCCTGATACCTGCTACAACATAGACGGTTCTAGAAAACGTTAGGCTGCGGAAGAGCAGCCAGACGCAAAGGCCAGGCACGACATGATTCCTTCTATGGGGAATGTTCGGAGGAGGCAAATCCACAGAGGCCGAAAGTAGATCACTGGCTGGGGGTGATAGGGGAGGAAGACGGAGGGAAGAAGTGCTAACGGTCACGGGGTTCCTTTCTGGGGGGTGGGGGTGGGAATGCTCTGGGATGAGGTCATGGTGCTGTTCACACACCACGATGACTGGACTAAAAACCACTGAATGTACACTTAAAAATGGCAATTTTTTTATATTACATGAATTACATCTTAATTTTAAAAAAAAAATCCTCTCCTGCTCTCCACCTCCTTCAGCAAACACCTAATGGAGGCCTCGTTAGCCCCACGCCATCTGGAACCTCCATCTGCTCTCCGACCTCACCACCTGCAGCTCGCTCCCCACCAGCCACCCCAACCACGTCCTCGCCCCAGGGCCTTTGCACCTACCTGCTGTTGCCATTACAGAGAAAGCTCACTGCTCACCTCCTTCCAGCCTTTGCTTAAGCGTCTACCCCTCTGCCCCACCCCCCGAGGCCTTCCCTGGCCGTGCAGGCCCCCGTCCCCTGCCCTGCGCCACCTTCTTTCTGTCTTCACCTCCATCACCATCTAATGCCTCGTCCATCTTACCTGTTCCCTGTCCTCCTCCAGCACCAGAAGGAAAGCTCCGGGGGCTTTAGCGCCCCCCGCTGCACTCCCAGGGAATGCCCGGCACATAGTAGGTGCTTAGGCTTCTGACGACATCCCTCCGATTCCCTCCCATCCGCACACCTCTGGGCAGTCGGACTCCGCCACCCTCCCCCGCCCCCAAATCTGGCGTGGCTTGTGACCTGCTGTGGCCAACAGAACGGGTGTAAACCGCTCTTTGTGACACCCGGGTCCTGCCTCAAGAGACCCGGCAGCGTGTGCGTCACCCTCTTGGAAGGCAGTGGCCGTGGGGAGAAGTCCAGGCAACGCTGCTGGGGAGGCCGCAGGACAAGAAGGGCCACGCGGAGGAGAACCGAGGCGCCCCAGCCAGCGCCAACTGCCTGACGTGAGCGAGGCCACGTCGCAGCCCAGCGAACCCTCCGGTGGAGCGCAGGCCCGTGACCGAGCCCAGCAGGCGCCGCGGGAGCACAGGCGTTTGGATGAGCCCC